GGACCGCAAACGGCCACAGAAAGTGGGGGGCAGCCGCATGGATCAAGGAGGTACGAGCGACCTCCATGACCAGGCCAATGCGGCGCTCCGCAACCCCATTCTGCTGTGGAGAGGCCGGAAGCGTGAACGACTGCTCAATGCCGTGCTCAGCACAGTAGGCTGCCAAGAGGTCGGAGGAGAACTCACCACCTCTGTCAGAGTGCAAGCGCAGGACAGGAAAGTCCGAGCGGAAACGCTCGCTGAGCTGGAGACGAGCTCTGCGGATCCAAGGGATCAAAACATCAGGGACCTCACCCTTGGCTCGCAAGGGGAAGACCCTGGTGTAGCGCGAGTAGTCGTCAACAACGATCAGGAAGTACCTCTCCTGACCCTGACCACGGACGCGGGCTGGGCCCCACACGTCCATGTGGAGCGTCTGCAAAGGAGCAGTCGTCGGGGGAAACGAGGAGGAGTGAGGAGCGGCGCGCTGCCGCCCCTCGACACAGGGAAGACAGGGAGGAGCAGGCGAGGGTGGGAGGGGAGGGAGGACCCTGGGAAGACCAGAGACAAGGTACCGGGAGTGCATGGCACGAAGGCGCTGCACAAACGGGTGGCCCAGTCGGTGGTGCCAGAGGACAGTCTCGTGCGCTAGAGAGCGACACGAGCAGGGGGCGGACAGCTGACCTGACGCGGACGCAGACGTAGCGACCTGAGGGGGGGCAGTAGTCAGTGTGTACAGATCCGACCCCGGCTGCCGAGTGAAGGTAGCCAAGTGGCGGCCTGTACGGGCACACGTGCAGTGTGTGACACGCTCGTAGGCAGGGGTGAACTGGTGAACACCCGCGTCCTGTAGTGCACAACCTGCCACCAAGTTTGTAGAGAACGAGGGGAGGTGGAGACCTGACAGTGTGCCCGACGGGACCGCAGGACAGGGAAGGACAGTGGAGGAGGTCGCAAGGACCGGACCCCCAGAGGGGTCAGCGAGGGAGACAGCAACTGGCCGAGCAAGGGGCTCAAGGGCAGTGCGGTCACGAAAGAAACAGCGAGAGGCACCTGAATCCAGTGTGAAGGTGTGCAGTGCTGCAGTCGACACAGTACTAGGGGGGGCAGACGTACACGCACCTAGAGCAGCAGCCTCGCCAGCACCTAGGGTAGCGGACACGCGAGTACCTGGAGCGGCAGACGCACTAGTCCTAATGCCCGGGTCGGGCGGGACACTCAGGTACTCAGCACCCTCTCCACTAGTAGACATCACATACATGGCAGTGAGGATAGCATCAAAGTCTAGAGCATAAATATCAATCCCCTTCTTCAGAAGATCAACCCAGCGGGGCAACTCAGTGGCCTGAGGGAACTGAACACGCCAAGCGTCGTTCAGACGAGCGAAGCAACGCTGTGTGGCGTGCGGTCCCCCACACGGCTGGCCAGTGCGGTCACCAGTGCGAATGACGTACGTGTAGCTAAGGCCACCCCCCCCCCCCCCCCCCGTGCTGAGAGTACCACTCACGAACCTCCTGGGGCGACGGAGTGTGCTGCTGGCCCTGGCCACCGCCAGCGCCTCCACGACCACCACCGCCGCTACCACCTCCTCGACCACCCCAACCCCGGCCGCTGCCTCGTCCACCGCCACCCCCCACCACCTCCTCCGCCCCGGCCACCTCCCCCGCCGCTGCCGCCACCCCCCCCCCACTGCTGCCACCTCCCCCACCCGCGCCACCCCCCCCGCCACCACCACCTCCCCCACCACCGCCACCCCCGCTGTCACCACCACCGCCCTTGCCCCCCTTGCCCTTGCCGCTGCGGCGCCCACTCGAAGCAGACGCAATCCCGACCTTCTCAGCACCAAGGAGGTCGACAGCAGCAGCAGAGGCGACAGAGGGAAGAAGGGGGGAGGGAGAACACCCCTCAAAGAACGGGGTACGGGGGTCACCGCGAGAGGCACCTACAGCGACTATGCTAGCCTCAGCTGCAAGCAGTTCCTTCTCGAGGAGGGCAATGGTGAGCTCGTTGGGGCAGCGAGCTAGAAAGTGGTCCCTGACTGAGCGCAGAGTGTCATGGAGGCGCGTGACTAGGTGGTAGAGAGTGAGCCAGAGCGGGGGTGGGTTCTTGGCAAGGAACTCATCAGGCATAGCGGCGCGGAAGCGAGCCTCACTAGTGCGGAGGTGGGTAATGAGATCAGCGACAGTGTGGAAGGAAGCTAGGTCGGGGAACAGGTAGGGAAGAGAGAGACGGCCTAGAGCGGCAGAGGCCGGCGAGGAGTTTCGGGCAACGACAGCAGTGTACAGTGCCTGTGCAGTCTTGTGCTGCCCAAAGTGCTCGCGCTCATCTATTGGCAGAGAGTTGCGAATAGCGAAGCGAGTATGGGCGTCACGAGTCTGCCACTGTGAGCGGGCAGTGCTGTCAGCAGTAGCAGCAGGAGCAGTAGCGTGGCCTAAGGCATGATCGTACAGCGAGATGTCTTCCTTGGCAGTGAGCTGTAGGAAGAGGTATAGGTCATCAAGCCAGGTGTCGAACTTCACTGGGCGGGTCTCAGTATCGAAGGCTAGGACAGGACCTGCTCTGATACCATGTTGAAGAAGAATGAATGAACTAAGAGTGAAATGAGTACAAGTATCAAAACCTAGGAATGTGTACCCCCTATAGGCTAACCCACTGTAGCATAAACAACAACAACAACATATATAATGTTTGACAACTGCAACTGCGGATTTACGGGGTCTGATTCGAGCGACAATTTCGGAGTGTTTACGTGGAGAATTACAGGTTTTAAGGCAAGGAGCGCCGACAACTTCGGAGGAGCATTCGGCGTTTGGTTAACGCGCGCGAAAAGGACGTTGGGAAATAACGCGTGAGCTACACGGAGTTTTCAAGGGTACGAACGACTTACGACGAACTGAAGAAGGCGGCATCAACAGTGAAGGGGTGGGAGAGACAGCTGCATTTTTGCATCCCTGCCCAGGAGCCCTCGGCGCACTACGACAAATGGCTCGGCGAGTCTGGACAAAACCGCTGGAGGTGCTGACATCATCTGACCCTAGATCGTGCTCGACATCAATTTCGGAGTGACATTCGATCTTTGACTTTACGACGGATCGCCTTCACCGACGACATTTTCGTACCAACCCCGACTTCTCAGGCCAGAGGATTTCGGGATACAGCCGCACCAACTCTACTAGCGACAAATCCATCCACTCGACCCGCCCACGACAACTGCATTGATTTCAAACACGTCAGGTGGTGCCAGCTGCATCTGCTGAAGATACTGCCTGATTCTGGCGTGTGAAGACAAAAACAGGTTCAGTTCGAGCAACGCATAATTTCTGCCGCGGTTTCTGGTCTACTTACGCGGGTTCGCCCTTGAAGACTTTTTGGGGCACGTACTACCCGGTTCCGCAATCGACTTTCCACACCGACGAGTCTTCACCTGGCTTTCTACGCTCGACATTCGCTTCAGTGGGACTGAACACCTGGATTTTTGTTGGTTTTCATCTTGGCGCAGCTGTGAAACATTTTCTGGTGTGCTTTCTTGGAGGGGGGGAGAAAGTGCTTTGCACTATTTCTTTCCTCGGCGTTTTCTCGGCTCAATTTCTGACTTTGTCAGAATGCAGCAGCACGACGGACGACTGCGATCGCTGCTTCACGATCAACGGTTTCTGCAACATCGCGTTTGAATCTCGCGTCAGCAGGTTCCCTCCAATCTCGCGTCAGTCTTCGACCGTCAGATCCACATCTGCTTCATCAACGGCCCACATTCCAACTTCAACTTCATTTTGGGCTAGTTCCTCGTCGACCGTCAGATCGAAATCGGACTACATCGACGGTGTACCTTCCAACCTTTTCAAAAATATAATCGAAGGCTTTTCGGCCGTCGGATTCAGCTGAAGGGGAGATCTTCGGCATCCTTGCTAGTGTGGGGTTCGTTTCAGTACAGGACTGCCTTATTTAGAAGGTGGGAGAGTGTAAGGATTTACGGAATCCTTACTGAGGCACTCGTTAGCGAGGCCATCCCGAGGGTCACGCGACGAACCTGTCCTTCCTATTTCGTCGCACCGAACCACTCCCGAGTCGCCTCCGCTCCAATCGCAACCATCACCGAGCCATCCTAGCCCAACCTCTCCGCCTAGCTAGGACTTCCCCTATTTAGTCGTACCCTTCTCATTGTATCGTCATTCAGTAATTCAGTACTCAATCATTCTCGATATTCGCTTTACTGCGCACTCTGCAAGTTCATTCATAACAGGCTCCAACCTACCGCCAAGTTACCATGAATGGTCTTATGATTAGATGGCTTGATGATTCTAAACATATCGGTGGTAGTCACGTCCTGTTTTAGGGTAGTTGTAATTTGCATGTTGCATGGAGTGGAAACAGCTTTGCTGCATCAGCCATATGTGCTTGTGTCTCTCTGGGATGATGGCAATAGCGTCAGCCTGTTGTACTGTCCCTCCCATCCCTATGTGCGGAATATTATGCTAATGCCTTCCGTGATCCAGCTCACCTCAGCCTTTCACATCATGCTAATGCCTCCCAGCCACCTTATGGTTACGCCTTCCATCCACACACATCTTCCATCCACACACATCTTCCATCCACACACATCTTCCATCCACACACATCTTCCATCCACACACATCTTCCATCCACACACATCTTACATCCACACACATCTTCCATCCACACACATCTTCCATCCACACACATCTTCCATCCACACACATCTTCCATCTTCCGGATGCTCTTTGCATTGCACTCCTCCACCCTATCCGTAACTCGCAATCAATTTTGGACTCGCATCATACCCAGTTTACCCGGTAAACATGTTTACAGTGCCGAATGTAACTCACTTTGACGCTCATGAATCTCGCAGCACATGGGCTGGACACAAGGCAGATCCAAAAATAGCCACAGCATGATATCAACTACAGTACCTTACCGCAAAGCACTTCCATCTCGCACGACTTCTGAGGCGCCTCAAAAGGCACCTCCATCTCGCAAAGTGTAACGCCCTCTTCTCTCTCCCCTCAATTCATCCCTTCCTCCGCATCCTCACTCCCCCCCTCCCCAAACCACACCTTACCCCATGCTAGCAGTGCCTTGGCTGCTCCGTCTCTCTTCGCCTCCTCCACTGTTGCCCCCATGCCTGTGCCCATCCTTCTTCCTGCCGCATACACTCGCACTCGCTCAGTCATGTGTGCTGTCCCTGGGTTGTCCGTCCCTGTATGCCTGTTTGGGTGCGAAAAGGTGTTAATGTGAGGGGGCGAGGGAGGGGGCGAGGGGGGAAAGGGGGGGTAGGCGGCTCAAACAACACTGACTTAGAGACAGGGAGAGGGCGCGATAGAGGAGGAATGAGGACTCTCGAGCAGGGAGGCCCCCATGCCTGTGCCCATCCTTCTCCATGCTGTATACACTCGCACTCGCTCCGTCACGTGGGGTGTCTGCGGGTTGTCCTTCCCCTGTGTGCCTCCTCGCCTTAAGGGTGTTCATATGGTGACAGGGCCAGGGCGAACGAGGGCGAGGGGACGAGGTGGGACGGGCGTGGGGTGGGGGGGCGAGTTGTGAGGCGTCTCAAAGATCACCTCAGTGTCTGCGGGTTGCCCTTCCCCTGTGTGCCTCCTCGCCTTAAAGGTGTTCACATGGTAATGGGGCCAGGGCGAAAGAGGGTGCTGGGACAAGGTGGGACGGGCGTGGGGAAGGGGGTGAGTAGAAAATCAGTTGAGGGGTGTGTGTGTGTGTGTGTGTGTGTGTGTGTGTGCCGATTCAAACGCCTGGGCTTGAGGGAGAATTTTGAGACGTCTCAAAGCAGTCGAGGGGGGTGTGTGTAATCAGCGCATTCAAATGCGTGAGCCTGAGGGAGAATGAGAGGGCGTGCTTGAGGAGGATTGAGCGCCCGCCCTCAGCCCTGTGTCACATGCACGGAGCAGGAATGGTACTGCCATCGCAAGGGGTGAAGTGCAGACAGAGAGAGGTGCAGCTACAGATGTGTGGAAATGGCTCATTAGTACTCACAGGGTGACCCTGTGACTCGTCTCAAGGATGATTCCCAAATGTGCTTTGAGACGTCTCAAAACTCTTCTTTTTTCACGAGAGACATCTATTGCACACGAGTCACAGGGTCACCCTCACCCGGACAGTCTGTCCTCCCCACTGCTGCTGCATCGTCATCCCATCCTTACACTGCCCACGTGCAGCGGTGCATTCACACACAGCGGTGCATTCACACACAGCGGTGCATTCACACACAGCGGTGCATTCACACACAGCGGTGCATTCACACACAGCGGTGCATTCACACACAGCGGTGCATTCACACACAGCGGTGCATTCACACACAGCGGTGCATTCACACACAGCGGTGCATTCACACACAGCGGTGCATTCACACACACGCACCAGTACTGCGGCGCGAGGCCCAGTTGCTGGAGAGACGGGTCTTGCAATCGAGTCACGGGGATTGCAAAAGTCAGCTCACAGGGACTGCTGACTGCTGCTGGAGGGTCACGGGGTCTGAAGGGTCACTCTGCTCAGCTGGAGACTGCACTCTCCTCACTGCTGCTGCTTCGCTGCTCACGGGGTCACGGGGTTGACTTTTGAGTCGACTCAAAAGTCAGCTCACGGGGTCATGGGGTCTGAAGGGTCACTCTCTTCACTGCTGCTCACGGGGTCTGAAGGACCACTCTGCTCAGCTGCAGACTGCACTCTCCTCACTGCTGCTCACGGGGTCTGAAGGACCACTCTGCTCAGCTGCAGACTGCACTCTCCTCACTGCTGCTGCTTCGCCCACTGTCACACTGCCCACATGCGGCAGTCTGTTCGCATCACACACACGCACCGGTATTGTGGGATGAGCCCCAGTTGCTGGAGAGACATCTGCTGCAATCGAGCCACGGGGTCAACTGGGACTCGAGGGTCGCTCCGCTCTGCTGCAGACTGAACTCTACTGCTCTGCTCTGCTGCTGCTTCGCCCACCGTCACACTTCCCTCTCCGCCCGGCTGAATACGCTGCTGCTGCTGATGCCCATGCTCATGCCCGAGTTGTTGCCAATACTGATGGCCAAACTCCAGCTTCTGTGCGTGGGGAAGAGTGGCGCGGGAGTCCACTAGCGAGGGCAGCAGGCGGGTTACAAAGGCTGACGCTGCTTCCAGGCCCTGATGGGGGCAGCGGATGGGAAGGGCGGAGGGAATGGGGAGGAGGAGGGGGACGCGGGGGGGAAGGGAATGGGGAGGGGGAGAGGAACGGGGGGAGAGGGGAATGAAGTGGTGGAGGGGAATGGGCGATGGAAGGGAATGGGGGGAGGGGGAGAGGAACGGGGTGGGGGTAATGGGACGGGGAGAGGGAAGGGGACGGAGGAGGAGGAAGCGGACAGGGAGGAATGGGAGAGTGGAAAGGGGGTTGGATGGGGATGGGGATGGGATGGGACGGCATGTGCATTGAATGGGCCGAACAAGTGTGGAAGTGACGGGCAGGTATGCAATAAGTTAAATGAATGGCAAACGAAACGGCAAATGATGGCAAATGAACTGGCCGGCATACTCATGATGTACTATCAGTGGTGATAAGCAAGTGGGGATAAGCAAGCGGGGATAAGCAAGCGGTGTTGCCAGCTTAAAAGGAGTTCTTGCTGAGGCAGGTTTGAGGGTGGTGTGCGGGTAGTGCGAGGATTGTGTGAGGATTGTGTGAGGATTGTGTGAGGATTGTGTGAGGATTGTGTGAGGATTGTGTGAGGATTGTGTGAGGATTGTGTGAGGATTGTGTGAGGATTGTGCGAGGTTATACTAACCTTTTCTGCATAAACCGCACCAACAAGTGCCTCCATTGTGCACGCAACTAATGAAGACTGCAGTAAAGGATACAAAATCGGATCATGCGCAGACACAAAGCAGACAGAGAGATGAAACGGTGAAAGAATCATTAGTGTTCTTCTCTAAGGCACGTCTGCTTGGTCACATCACACGCTACCACTATTCCAGAGTAACACCACATAACACCAGACAGTCGCCTGTCATGGTATCATCACATGCCCACACCCGCACCCGCACCCCCATCCTCACCTCCACCCACACCCGCACCCGCACCCGCACACCCACCCCCTCCCACACCCCCACCCCCACCCACCCCCTCCTCCAACCCCACCCCCACCCCAGAGCATACCTCCACCGTGTCCCCCCCTTTAAGCATGGCGCGCTTGCCCTGCATGAGCAGCGCATCTGAGAAGCTCAGCATGGCTGCCGGCAGGCCCAGCGCCCCCCCTCCTATGCCCGCCAGACTCCTGTTGCTCACCTGCCGGGGGGGAGAGGGGCGAGGCGGGGTGGGGAGTGGGGAAGGGAGGGGAGGGGAGGGGAGGGGAGGGGAGGGGAGGGGAGGGGAGGGGAGGGGAGGGGAGGAGAGGGGAGGAGAGGGGATGGACAGGGGTGTTGGAAGGGGAACGCTGTGAGGATGGAAGAACAGGAGGCGGAATGGAGACAGGAGGGGGGAAAGGGCGCGAAGGAAACGGGGGGGAGAAGGGGAGCAGGAGGGAAAGCGGGACAAAAAAGAGAAGATGAGCAAGAGGGGGAAGAAGAGATACAAGATTGCGAAAGAGGAATGGGAGGAGGAAAGTAAAATCAGGACTCGTATAATGAGGTAGAGTGCATGGGGGAGGAGAGTTTGAGAGAGATGGAGATGCAGAAGAGGAATGGGGTGGCGGAGGAATGCGGAGCGGAGAAATGCTGAACACGGATCGGATGAGGAGTGGACATGGGGGGCAGGGAGGCGGGAGAGTGGGAGGGAGGGAGGGAGGGAGGGAGGGAGGGAGGGAGGGAGGGAGGGAGGGAGGGAGGGAGGGAGGGAGGGAGGGAGGGAGGGAGGGAGGGAGGGGAGGGAGGGAGGGAGGCGAGCAGAAAGGGGTTTCAAGAATGCTCAGAAACAAACCTAGTGTAGCAGCAGGGAGATCTCATGACACAAACGAGGAGTGGAGGTCGGGGAAGGGAGGGAGAGAGGCGGGCAGGAGGCAGGGAAAGGGAAGGGGGTTGGGAATGATGTGCACGCACGCATGAAAGTAGAGAGGGGACGATAGAGAGGGAAACAAAGAAAGGAAACTGAAGGGAGGGAATGGGAAAAGGTGCGTGAAGGGAGGGTTTTGAAAAGAGGGGAATGAAGAAACGGTATCGAGGAGAGGGGCATGAAAAAAGGCGTGTGGATGGAGGGACTTACAAGCTTGTCCTTGCGTGATGTGAGATCACCCTGGAGAGTTTAGCGTGGGGCGGGCGGGGGGAGTAGGATGGGAGCAAGGGAGTGAGTTAAGAAATCAATTCTGAGAATTCTCAAAAGTGATTTCAGTTTAGCGTAGGCCGGGGGGAGTAGGACGGGAGCAAGGGAGTGAGTTACGAGAGGCAGTTGATCCCTGCAGGAAAAACGAAACAATAAAAAAGAAAAAAACGCCCCAAACAGGAACAAGTGAGAACTGTGAAGTGAGACGAGACGAGACGAGACGAGACGAGACGAGACGAGACGAAAGGGGGTAGGGGACGACGACATGAGTTGGAAGATTTACATGGCAGCAGCACCAAGGACAGGATGGGGCGCAGCAAGCACACAGACACACACACACACCATGGACAGGGGTGGTTGCTGGCGCACGAGGTGCAGCACACACGTGAGTGCTAGCACCGAGTCCCCCACCGCCTCAAGATGCGATCGCAGCTGAAATCGGATAGAAATAGGATAGAAAAAATCAGATGCAGGGATTGAGGGGAGAGGGGGAATGGATGGACGATAGAAGAAATTGGATAGAAATAGGATAGGATAGAAGAAATCAGATGCAGGGATTGAGGGGAGGGGGAGAAAGGACGGGCGATAGAAGAAATCGGATAGAAGGCTAATTGGAACAGAAAGTGCGAAGGCAGCGAAAAGCACCGGCAGACAGTGGAACCGGAAACAAATGGGTACAAGAAGCTTGGGATAAGGAGGGGGGACAAGGGGGGGCGAGGATAGGAGGTAGTTAAGTAGGAGGTGAGCGATGAAAAGACGAGAAGGCAGGTAAGGAAGGTACATCATGCAATTTCCTCCCCAACCTCCCCTTTCCCTACTTCCCCATTTCCATTATCGCCCTCCCATCAATCCCACCCTCCCCTCCCCGAAACCCCCCTTCCCATCCTTAACCCCCATTTTGCCCTCCCATCACCACCCCCCTGCGCCCTTTCCTCATCCCGCCCTTACTCCACCTCACCCGGCTGTGGGCTGTGAAGTACGTAATGGGCTCGTCGTCGGATTTAGATGGACCAGATGCACTGCTCCTCTTGCCTTCGTCCTCCCTGCTGCCGTCCTCCCTGCTGCCGTCCTCCCTGCCGTCCTGCTGCTGATGATTGAGAGTACATTGGGCTCCGGGCATGAGCAGGTAATAGTACATGTCCTGGGTCTGGCGCGATGGGAGGCGGGCGGGATGGGGGGAGGGACGAGAGGAGAGGGATGGGGAGAGGGAAGAGACGAGCGGGATGGAGCAAGTGGTGGTTTAGTTCTGAGCTCCTAGCGCCAGGCATGAGCAGGTGAGCGATGTTGGAAGCGGGCGGGATGGGGAGAGGCAGGTGCGATGGGGGGAGGCGAGCGGGATGGGGAGAGGGACGAGAGGAGCGGGATGAAGCAAGAGGGGGATTAGTTTATGAGCTCTTCGGTCTAAAGGAAATGAAATTGTAAACGGAGAAAAGAACGGAAACGCAGCAGCACTGACCAGGCATCGCAGCAGCAGGTCAGGGGATAGGTGGACCCCCATTCGATGAGATAGCTCCTGGCAGGATGGACCAAGCAACACAGCAGCAGCACCGAGAACGACAGCAAGGGAGGGAGGGGCAGCGTGAGGCAGGGAGGGAGCTAGAGAGTGAGAGCATAACAGGGAAAAGCACAGGAAGGACGGAACGCCAGGGGAACCAGATGAGCATGGCGGATGGTGGGGGCGGCCAGTGGACCATGGGAACACAACAGGTCAGGAGAAGCAGGATGTGTGGAACCTTCTAACTCAAGGATAAGCTAGCGCCATACATACCGCTCCCTTTTCCCCACACAGCACCGACCTTTTTGTAACGCCTCAAATGTGCTCTCCCACTACGTACTCCCTCATTTCCCACAACACTTACCCCCACCCGCACCTCCACGGACTCCCAACCCTCCCGGCGCACCTCGATTTTCTGCCAGCGGCCAGGAGGCAAGGGCAGTCTTTCGGAGATGCCGTCGGGGAGGGACCACCACACGTCAGGGCTGTTGCTGCTGACGTGGAACAGCGATTTCGTGACGTCTCCAGTCGACATGTGATGAAACGCTCTAATATGTACGTGTCTCCTGCTGCTCTTCTGTTTCTGCCGCATCGTTTTCCCCCTTCCAAACGTACACTTCAATATTAAGTCACTTGTGGGGTTGAACATGTGATGGACTGGAAATATTGGCGTTGTGCCACGTGTCATAAGCTCAGCGTCTGCGCCTGAGCGTGCATTCCTCAAGTATCCTTGGCTGGAACTCGGCCGATCAGGCATCATCCGTAGATACGTCAGCACGTGACGTTGCCGCGACACGCTGCCGTCAGGCATCACTGCTGCAGGTGCTGTCAAAAATAGATTCCTGGACCCTTCCTTCCAGGCTCGTCTGCCAGACCATAATCTATTTACAACGCATTCGACTGACAGGCCACGAGGCGCAACCTTATAAAGAATCATGGCGTGCTGACAGCCTGTGTCCACCTGGTTTTTGAAAGCGAAAAGACGCTGACTAGGCGAAGAGTCGGCAAGAACCGCGAAACTGGTCTTGGCACGGCCAGAGAAAAGCAAGGCTTTATTTTCAACACAACGACGCGATGCGTCTACTGGAAAGAGGGAGCACATGCAGATTAAGGCGCACTTGCAGTGCATGATGGGAGTGAATAGGGAGCAGTATAAGGTACAATGGTCCTCATGCTATATGAATAGCCCTGTGACGGGTCATGACTTGAATAATATGAGGTTGGGTCAACTAAGCACTTCACGCGAGAAGTCTTCATAGATAAGCGGTGTCATACCGCAGATGGCATTTATACATATGACGAGGCGCGTCGAGGATCCCACTACGGTGTGCGAAGATTACAAGGTGGTATCATTGCATGCTCCTGAAATCCATCAGATACTCCGCTAAGAACTGTCTCCATCTGCACTTTCATTGAAGGGTTCTACGGAAATGTATTCACATGAGCTCCCAGGTTCATCTTAAGAACCATGTATTGGACATTCTTATCTTAATGAGGGTTGGGAGAAATAAGTTCTAATTGTGTAATGAAACCGCTTATCGCTACAAAGGGCTTCATTTTCTGCATGCATAAAGTTGTCTTTCAAACCATTCAAGCTACTTTTCCATGTGAAGTCAGCTCAACCAACATGCCCCTTTTCTAGTTATATGGCTGGAACGATTGAGATAAGACTTATTTCAAACTTACCGGTGGTAACTGTTCGTTTACAGTCGCAACTCTTCGTCAGCCCTGGACAACCAGAAGTGTCTCGCGAAATTCCCTACCAGCAGGAGAGCACGACCACCCTCCCCCTCCCAGCGTCATCGCATCGCACCGACCAACACTGTTGAGCTGCTTGGGCCCTGCGCTGCTGGTTGGCAGCGGTTGTATTGATCACTGCTATGCAGTGCTGTACAGCACAGCGTTAGCGTTGCCATGGAGAAATCTGTTGTGCTTGCCTCGTGAATGGTGAACAGGCCTGTTGTTTCGTTTTGGGCCCCCCGGACAAATCAGGGGGCCCGGCATGTATGACCCTGTATTTAGCAGGGTTGGGGCGAATCTCGGCCCTTTAGGCTTCAGGGCTAGAAAATTTTCCTCCCTTGAATCAGGTTTGGCGCGAAAAAATCGGGAGCCTCATTTCAACTACCAAGCTTACAACTACGTTTGAGATCAACGACAAGCAAGCAAACACGACAAGAAGAGAAATAGTTAGCGTCATATCACTACGCACGCTTTGCAGGCTTCCTAGTCTTTGCAGAACCGATGATCGTCTGCACATCTTTACTACCCAACCTTCAGGGTAGTTCTTGTGCACTTCTACCCAACCTTAACCGTCACCCACTCCACAGAGAGCGAGCTGTGATTGGTTTAAGCACAAGTTCTAGGCTGAGTTGAATTTGTGGCCCAACCGAGCAACTCGAAATTGCCTTGTTGGATGCAATCAGGTTAGAAACGAAGGGGAAGGAGAGGGAGGAGTGTTGGGGGGGGGGAGGGGAGTGGAAGGGGGGTCTCGAGATATTTTGTTCCAGGGCTCGCCTAAAATCTGCCCTTTACACACCAAGCCTGAGCCCGAAATCAGCCCTGTAAAGAATCAGGGCCAGAATATTTCCAACCCATCAATTTCAGTTTTCAAGGGCAACCCAGCCCTGGAATTCAAGGTCCAGCAGGGCAAACGCCCTGCAAGCGACAGCCCTGATGGTGAATGAAATGTGACAGGCATGCACTACAGGCTTCTATCACAAGCTCACTCCTCTATCTTGATGCTCCTGACGCAAGACAGCCACCTCGTTGCCTTGCCTACCCCCTCAATCCAGTCATGTATCGCGTCGCGACACGCAAAGACGAAACAGAGCGCGCAACTGCGTTCCCTGCGGCTTCTTTCTTGCGCCCTCCTTGCCACCTTCCCCCGCCGCCGGCTTCCACTGGAAGCTTGAAACATGTCTGTCTGCGCTCCCTCCTCTCCAGCCAGGATAAGAGGACCCTCTCCGCTCCGCCGCCTCCTCATTTCTCCGCCGCTTTTAGTGGGCGGAAAAAATTGCGGCTAGCGTTGCGAGCAATCGCGCAGCGCTTTGAATGCCCTTCCCGCATTGCCGCAACTGACGTCAGTCATTCCTCCTCACTGGCAGACAGGCGACGCTGGGAAGGTTTTTTTCTGAAAGGCCCATCTGTTGGGTCACGCACGCTCACTCGCGTATGCACTGCTGTGTTTCCGTAAACGGCTGCACCTAATTGAACCAGGATGTACCGTGCTGTACCTGTGGGCGACGCGGCAGAGTGGCCCCCACCCACACAGGACGGGCCGGTCGAGTCGAGTCAACCGTGATACCTGGTGATCCACGTGACCGATGGTCTCGCCCGACGAGGAGCGGATTCGCATCGCATTCCCTCCGCCTCAATTTCCTTCCCCACTGGAAATGGCGTCTCTCTCTCTCTCCGGGCTCGCTTCCAAGATGCGACCATTTCGTCTCCCTTTCCATTTTCTGAAGGATACTATTGTCAGCTGGTCCTGTTCTATAGCAGCTCAAAGAGCCATTCTATTAGTATCGCCTAGCCCGATGTGGTTCTCCCGGCGCCGGATAGCATGGCAGCAAGCTCCTTCAATATGAAATTAAGGCCGTGACTGCGCAGCCGCTGCGTAGGACAACGTTCCACCAACCGCTTGATTCCATTCCTTCTCGCAGGGTGTTTTTGAAAGGTATCTCATCTTTCATACACTCCTGCTAGTCCTTCCTGTCGCCGTTCCGTGTTCGACGCTTTTTCGGGTTTGTTCCTTAAGGAGCGCCTGCTACGGTTGGCGTTCCGGCCTTGAATACAGACGATGGATTTCCCCGCTGCAGACCTCTCCGACATAATCACATCATTGCTAGTCGACGATTGGCTCCTGACTAAGAATCCGGCTCGTTGCGCGAAGACCGCGACTGGACGCGTTGCCGCCGTTTCTGCCGCCAACTTATCTGCTTCAATTCAGAGACTTTAGTGTCGGTCCATCTGTCCTTTCAAACGGAAACAGTTACTTGAAGCTGATAGGTTAACATTCGGAAGTCGGATTACGTCTCAACCAGAACTGAGTGTCAATTGCTGACATGGCGGCAGCGGATTCGTTGCCAGATTCGCCTCGATCGTCAGGTGTCTCAACCCGCGTGGCGAGCAGCCCACAACAGCTGCAGCGACTTTCAATAACGCCAGCTCATTTCAGCCCGGAGGCGCGGGTTCAATTCTCGGCGCGGCTAAAGAAACTTGCAGAAGACGTGGATGTGACGGTGGGCTCTGTGGGTGGACCAATCAGCAAACACCATCGCCCAATCTGCAGTGGCGGAGAAACTTTTGCAAGAGGAGATGTGACTATTCTGAAGGGGGCGTCACAGGAGGAGCAGGGCAGTGACACGGATGCAGGGAATGACTACAGCAGTCATCATATCCTAGCGGTTCAGAAGCCTTCCGCGGAAATGACGGGTGATTGCAAGAGCAGGACGCAGTGTGACTGTATCGAAAGGCAGAGCTCGGGGGGTCTCAGCCTGAGCAACATGGCCTTGCTCAAGTACACCCTCGCCCCTTCCTCTGCTGCCACCCTTTGTACTCTCACTCCTGCTGCTGCCCCTGATGCTTCACCCCTGGGTGCCAATATCTCTGGAGCCAGTGCCCTCTCCCAGGCCTCCCTTGCTGCTCCCATGGCACATGTAACTGCCCGTGCCCTCATGCTGGAAGGCTCAGACTCGGACTCTATTGGTGATTTCATCCCCACGCCTGCTGTGGAGCCGTGCAGTGCAGAGAGCGCAGGGAGCAAGGAGGGCACCTTTCTTCCTCCGCCTCCTGCTTCCCCTACTCATTCTCCTGCCGCTCCCTTGTCTCTGCCGTCGCCTGCGTCTCCCTCCTCCCATTCCTCCCTCCACCGAGCACCACTCCTTAGGATACCCGCCCTCAGCCTTCTCACCGCGCTTACTGCTGTCAAACCCACTCCTGCTGCTTCATCTGCTTCTGCTGCTGCTGCAGCTGTTGCTCCCGTTCCTGCTGCCAGCTGTAACCCCCTCTCCGCCTCTGCCTCTGCCCCAGCTCCTGCCTCTATGTGTGATGCTAGCACCCGAGTGCTGATGGTCCCTGAAGACGATGGCTTCACCTGGCGCAAGTACGGGCAGAAGCTCATCCGAGCCTCCTCACGGCCCAGGCTGTACTTTCGCTGCAGGCAGCCCGGCTGCCTGGCAAGGAAAACCGAGGATCGGGCAGCAGATGGAAAGGTTCTTGGGAGGAAGTATCTGAGTTTGCACAATCATAATCCTCCTACTCCTTCCCCTCCTGCTGCGGCTGCTGCAGACGCTGCAGCTGTGCGGGGTGAGCTGGACGCAGACGCTGCAGCTGTGCGGGGTGAGCTGGACCAGCAGATGGGGGGGATGTGCTCCAAACTGGATGAGCAGGGAGAGGCCCGGCAGGAGCAGTGGGGGATGATGGGAGACGGCTGGCACGAGCGCGTGCAGGTGGACGAGGACCAAAAGCAGCATGGGGGGGAGCTGGAGAACTGGCTGCAGCAGCAGCAGCAGCAGCAGCAGCAGCAGCAGCAGCAGCAGCAGCACGAGCAGGAGCATGAGGCAGAGCAGGAAAAGGAGGAGCAGGGGCAGCAGGCGTGGGGAATGTTTGGAATGGGCAGCGACGTTGAAGGACTCTTTGATCTCTCGCTCTCCGATGCGTTCCTAAATGACGCCCCGACTGATTGTGATTGCAGCAACCACACCATCAACAACAAAATCTGGCTCCCTGCTGAGGAATTTGGGGGAGGTGTGTCTGAGGAGACTTTATCTGAGGAAGGGCTCTCCCTGACGGTGTCTGGTGAAGCGAGTTGGGGGGTAGCTACTGGTGACCGTAACGAAGGGCGGCTGAGCAGCCCCAGCTGCTCGCTTGCTATGATTGAGTCGCTGCTGATGAGCGATGTTGAGGCTAGCAATAACGAGTATGGATGGGACGGGGTGTTCCAGGAAATCAGTCAGGGCGCTGAGAAGGCCGTAGTGACTGATGACGAACGTGGCTTTACTGGAGGAGTTGCTGCAAGCAGTGTGACAGTAACGAATGGGGCATTGGCTGTGGGCATGGATGCGCTTTTTAACTCACCGCAACCACGCCCACACCCAACGCACTGTTCACAAGTGCACTGTTCACATCAGCACTGTTCATCACCTGTCTGCCGCCCAGCAAGTCCAAATGGCAGCAGCAGGTTGGTCCATGGCAAGGCAGAGCATAAGAGGAAGGGGTCACCGTGTAGGGGAGCAGACGGAGGGGAGGAGGGGCCCTTGGATGCATGGGCGTGCTGCACAAATGAGGCGCCAGCATCAGTCAAGCAGCAGTACGTGGTCCTGTGCTCTTGATCTTGTGCTTTCACCATCGTGGCTGTATTCATCTGTGCTCTTGCTTTCTCCCTTCTGTGTGAAACGGACTCGACTCGAAGATGAACCAATGGGAGCGTACTTGCTTCCTTTCTTATCCTCCTTTCTCACCTACCACACTTCTCATGCCCCCCTCCCTTCCTTTATTTTCCTCCTTTCTGTTCCCCTCCTATCCTTTCCAGTCGTACCACTTCTGGCCCAACCAGCCCTACTCAAAGGACAGCTACCATCTCAGGCCGAGCAGCAGCTTTCTCTCCTCGTGTCACTCCAGGCGGATCTCCAGGCGTTTCTTCAGGTGCTGCACCAGGCAGTCCGTCAGGTGTGCGCATGGTGTGTGCGCAGCAGGTGGTGGAGGAGCCGAGGGTGGTGGTGGCGGTGCGCAGCGATGCAGACGTGGTGGATGATGGTTACCACTGGCGCAAGTACGGCCACAAGCTGGTCGGAGGCAACACCTTCCCCAGGTAATTTTTTTTTTTTTTGTCCTTTCGCTCTACGAGGGTGGTGGTGGTGGCGGTGCGCAGCGATGCTGATGTGGTGGTTGATGGTTACCACTTGCGCAAATACGGGGACAAGCTGGTCGGCGGTAACACCTTCGCCAGGTACAACCTCCTCCCCTCTCCTGTCCTTCCACACCATCCACCACAACCCCCTTTCCCCGCGCTCCGCCTCCCCTTGTCGTGACTCTGTCCTTCTGTGTGTCCTGGCTTTGTCTCTGACTTTAGTGTGTCCAACTCATTGCTGTGTGTTCGTGGTTGTTCCTGTCATGTGCTTGTATCGCAGGAGCTACTATCGGTGCACGAGTGGGGACTGCCGTGTGCGCAAGCAGGTGGAGCGCTCCAAGCATGACCCGTCCATGGTGGTAACCACGTATGAGGGCCGGCACAACCACTCTGCACCTGGACCCATTCTCTGCCTCCCCCAGTCACTGTAGCTGGCGTTACACTGCCCTTTCCCAGCCTTTGATTGGCTGTTAGTTGTGTGGGGACGTGGGAGGGAGAGTGTTTCTTTTCTTTCTGGCCTTTTTTTTTCTCTTCCAAAGTTGTTCCAAGTGCCGACGCAAGGCCTGAACTACCTTCATAGTCTGTGGTGTTTGGGGCTTGCCATGGCAGTTGGAACAACCGCATGCAGTGTGAATTAGAATGGGACTCGATTTGGTTAAGAGGATCCCTGGTATCAGCCAAGAACCGAACCCAGAACATGGACTGATTTATAAGTGTGTGGAGTTTGAATGTTCTGGTTTCGCTTTTTGGTTTTCATTAATAACATGGCTTTATCCAGTCTTGTTTACAGCAGCGTGTATTGTACGAGGAATACCAGTGTGAATTTACAGCAGCCAAAGTGATCAATGCCAACACATGGTCTCAGCTTTTTCTATCTTCAATATCTGATTCTGCATGGTTTGGGATTATAGATATGCTTTTGAGCACTTGAAACGAGTACAAACAGCTCACTAGTTTTCTTGGCAGATGATGCAGGTAGCTTCTGGGGAAATTCCAGTGGCGGTTGTCAGGGCAGGGTTGGTGTGTTCGGGCGCGGTCGGAAGCTTCAGTTCTTTCGTTTCCTCATCTAGCTGGAATTCCGCTCCTCGACCATTCTAGGACTGGCTAGAGCTCGTATCGCGTCACCTCCACATAGTTACCTTAATTGCAACGAGGGGTATAGTTGTTTTCACTCAGAACCTCGTTGACCTCGCTTAGGCCAAGATGTTGGATCGAACCAGGGTGCAACGAGAGCTCGTGGAAATTAGACGGGATCCTGAGTCGGGGGTGACTGTAGATGTCCCAGGAGATGATCTCGCTCGAATGAGCGGGACTATAATGGGGCCTGTCGGAACGCCTTACGAAGGAGGAACGTTTCTGGTGGACATAGTACTCACAGGTACGGCGTACTCCGCTCGTACAACGATTCGCGACACCTATTTCGTTTCACTCACATACCTGTATTTCTGACTCACTTGGCTCTGTTCAGACTCGTACCCGTTCAAGCCTCCAAAGATGACTTTCATTACCAAGGTCTGGTGCGTACCAAAATCAAAGATTCTCGTCGTAATCTCTTCATGCAGTAGTGGAAACTGAAGGAATGGCAGAGCTTTCGCTTGGCAGGCACCCTAATGTCAGCAGCCAAAACGGTGCGATCTGCCTGGATATCTTGAAAGACCAGTGGACTCCTGCCTTGACGCTCAAAACGGCTCTATTATCACTCCAAGCGCTGTTATCATCGCCTGAACCTGATGACCCTCAAGATGCAATCGTCGCTCAACAGGTAGTCGTGTTAATTTTCTGAAGGGGAAGAGGAAGTGGGACGGGTAACTGGGGGGATGGTGTTACTTGCATCTGGTAGGTGCGGCTCGGATTGGAGGTATCTGACAGGAAACTCTCTGCTATCCTCTTGCAGTATTTGAAGGATTATCAGACGTTTGTCAACACTGCACGGTACTGGACAGAGGCGTTTGCCAAAAGACCATCCTTGGCTCTAGATGACAAGGTCAGTCTCAGTTGCCTTTTCAGGTGGCTCACATCATGCCGGATTCCGGTTCTGCATCATGTTGCATGTTATCTGAATAATCTATGGGAGCTTAACCTGTTCTAAACCGGTTCTTGCAGGTGAAGAAGCTGGTAGAGATGGGCTTTCCAGAGGCGTCTGCTAGGTCGGCTTTGGAGAAGTGTGGAGGAGATGAGAATGCAGCTTTGGAGAAGCTATGTATCTGACTCTTGAACATTCAAATCATAGCTCACAATAGGCATGATTGAACTGATCATTACAGATATATAGTATGTGCTCCTGAAGTATACTTGGCATATCAACTGTCACTTCTGAAGCAGCTATCGCATTGCATCGCAACCAACAGTTTCCAACCTAAAGTTTCTTCAAGTATCGTGCTCTTCACGCGTTGTCACTCTTTCACAATATCACTTGTCGTTTTGAAGCACAACTAGACTTCCAGCTATCGATAACTCTCTCCGCACGCAGCTGGAACCTCTGCTCATGTCCATTCAAGGTCTGTCGCGAATCGCCAGGCACGCGAGGCGAGCTCTGCGTCCCGATCGCTGCTTGCAGAGAAGCGTCGATCCCTCTGCGTCAACTTCTCTGATCGCACGGACGCCTTTGCAACGACATCTCCTCACAGCTCCCGTTAGCGCTACTGACGTTGCTTCACGAAACAGCTACCAAGAATCAGAGCGGGTCGGAGGCCAGTCCGTTGACGGACATGGTAGTCTCCGAGACAGACGGCCGTCGTCGAGCCCACGCGTCCATAAGTTGTCATCATCGTCGGTTGCGTCTCACATCGATCCATCCTCGTTTGAAGTCGATTGGAGCGCGATCTCGCTAAGAGGCCTCCACCACACATTCGTCAATCTGTTGGCAGACTTTATTCTGCCGGAACCTCCCGCGAATTCATCCAGCTCCAGCTCCGATGCTCGTCGGCGTTCCCGTCGCCGACGCCACGTCCCCAGTCTGTTCGAGGAAATCAGGAACCAATGGCGACGCGCCAGCTGGCATGTGGACGAGCTGTACGGACAGAGGCCATCGGGTGCTCGTTCGGTTGGTGGCAGTCAAGGTTCTGCCGATCACCTTCAAGGCAGGTGGGACGGGAGAGGAGTTGGCATGAACCGCTTCTTGATTCGTGGGATCATTTACGACATGTCCGCTTTAATGGTGTTCGATCAAGACCTTGGGAGTAGAAATCCGAGAGACAGTGCAGCAGGTGTGCAAAGGCGCGTGGAAAACGCCGCGTCTAATGGTGGAAATGTTGCTTCAGGCGAAGATGCGAGGCAAGGCTTATCCGACTTCGAGCAAGAGAAGCTCGAACGAGCTGCGTTGGCTGCACGCGACTGGGAGAAATTTCTCCTGAGTAGCCCCAGGAGACGACGACACATTCCTGGGGTGAATGACAGCAGTCCCACTGCGACTAGCAGTGGTGCTCATCAAGCTTCTGGTATTGCCGGTTCTGCAGGTGCTGGTGCTGGTCGGTCAGCAGCGGCAGGCATGCCATCCTCTTCAGCTGTCACGCAGGGAATTTCATTGGAGGAGATGGCGGAGAGCATGGGGCTTCCCACATCTGCTCGAACCAGCCTCAAGCACAGCACCAGTGACAGCAGCAGCAGCAGCAACGGCACCCGAGACAGCATCAGCAGCATCAGCGCCAGCATCAGCAACAGCAGCAGCAGCAGCAGCAGCCCAAGGAACCCCCAGCCAGCAACTCCCGCTCCTCTGGGCGGTGCTCCTCTGCAGTTCAGAGGAGGTGCGAGCCCCAGAACGGGCGGCAAGGGAGGCAGCAGCGGAGATCAGCGGCTGGAGGAGCTGTTGGCGGGGGGAACAGGGGGGGGTGTGCGTGCCAAGTATGCTGCACGACTGCAGGAGAAGAAAATGCTTGCTGAGGCCCGCAGGGAGCAGCAGGGAGGAGGGTTCGGCCGGGCGGCTGCTGCTGTCGCCTCTGCTGCCGCTGCTGCCAGCACTGCTGCTGCTGCCGCTCGTGTGGCGAGGTTGAGAGCGGAGAAGGGAGGTGGAGATGGGGGGCTTCTGGGGGGAACGGGAGAAGGGGCGTTGCCTGGGATTGGCGGGGTTGAAAGGGGAAGGGGATGGGTGGTGGCTCCTGGGTCTGCAAGACTGCTCCGACATTTCCAGGTGAGGTTTTAGAGGGATGTTGGTGGGGAGGGGCTCATCACATAAGGTAGATGCTGCAGGAGGTGCACTGAGACTTAAGCACGGGATGATGTTGATGCGGCCATATCTCTGAATCTGACAGCTCTCGTATCCCCAAAATGATGGCTATTTCGTGTCATTTCCAGAGTGATAATCTCTCAATGTGCATGCGTTTTTTTGTTTCCTGCATCTGTGTTCCTTCACGGCTGCAGTCGCGCACTCTGAAGCAGGCGCTGGTAACCACCCACCCACGCCTTGACGTGCTGCTTCTCAACGACCAGCTCGGCAACTTCTCCTTTGACTCTCACATCAACGTCACTGCCGGCGCTGCTCCTGCTGCTCCTTCGGCCTCTGCTGCCTCCTCTTATACGCCTACCTCATCAACCCCTCCATCTGAGTCCTGTTCACCCTCAGATGCATCGCAAACAGCGTCAGCCACATCAGCACCAGGGCCGTCACTAACAGCTGCGTCTTCATATGGAGTGTCAGCAGAACCAGGAGGCACATTACCAAACGAGGCACTAAGGTCGCCCCCAGCAGCAGTGCCAGGCATCGACTCACTGGAAGCTGCCAGAAAGAGGTATTGTAATGCTGTAGATTTTTGTGAAATTTAAGCTCAAACTTCTTTCTTCTTTCAACACTGGGGTGGGCAATGTCTCACATGTGCCTTCGCTCTGAATGCAATTTTGGTTGCAGGGTGGATGACTTCGTTGAGACATGCAAGAAGTGGAATCTGAAGCCATCACAAGTCCTTGTGGTGAGTGCTAACATTATTTTCCTTATTGCAGCCACTACCCTCACTTCCATGCCAACGTTTTCCAATTCTTTTTTTTTGTTTTTTTTTTTTACATTTTGCCGCCACATTTGCCCCCAGGTGCTTGGCTCTGGACGCACCTCGTTGTTCCTCGCACAAGCCCTGCATGACAGTCCTTTCTTCGTATGTCAAATGACCACAAATTCATCGACTGATGATGCCGAACCTCCTCCTCCAATAGATTCCAGTCTCAAATATTCCACACAAGGTGACAGTGCTGAAGCCAGGGATGCTGAGAAGACTAATAATACCGCCACTACTGGAGAAGCTGTGGCCAATGGCTCCTCAGAGTCCTCAAGAGTCTTGACTCAGGGCACAGCTGGATGGTCCGCATGGTGGAAGCAGCTGTCCGAGGGGACACTGCACAAAAATGGAATGCGAGACGGTGATGTGCAAATGGTTGGGGAGCGGAAACAGGTTGCTGACTGGCTGCAGGCTAGTGCTAGGTTCAAGGCAGCAGACATGGTGGAGCTGAAAGGAGTGGTGGAGGAGCTGAATGGTGTGTCATTTAGAAGCAGCACGTTTGTGCATACGCAAGGCAGAATCTAGAACCTTGTTCGTCTTAGTGTCTCCTTGCGTTGTGCATACTTGTTTATGAAACATGCTGGTGATTTAGCGCTTAGCATGAAAGTATGTGTAAAAGGTAGACCACATCAGCACAAGGAGGAATATGCTTTTCTTTGATGTTTTTTAGGATTTTGCGCTATTATTATTATTGTACATATTGCGAACTTCGAATGTACACATGCTGGAAAACACAGGCTCAGAATTCACTGTTAGTGTCCAGGTGCTGTGCATGTCGATCGAGTCCTTCTCTTGATGCAGTGAATCGAGTCACAGTGCTTCAGCCTCCAAATTCACTGAATCAAACAACACTGACAGGGCTGTAGGGTATCCGGAGACGTGCGAGACACGACGAAGCTTTGCTCGTGGTGATTGGCGACACGCAAAAATATCTATTGTTTCAGTTTCGTTACAGTGCAAAAACGTAGGAGGTGGCACCAATCAACCCGTTCGCCGTCGTCGCATGGACAGCGCTTCTGGTAACCCACCAATCGGAGCGCACTAGCTCTGTTAAAAGAACTTCGCCATTTCATCACACGAGCAGCGCACTTTGCACAACCGCATGTCTCCAGCAAACCACAGCCAGATGAATCGCATCCGTTTCCCGCGACCAGCTCTCCTGAACCTACCACGCCGGACCAATCCCTATAAAGAGCAAACACTGCGGTAAACACACTCATCCACTCGAAACCATTCCCAAGGGTGCCCCGTCAACCTCTCAGCTGCCCAATTAGCTCACTTCTTGACGCGCAACCTTGGCACCACACTGCACTTCACGGCTGCCCGTTGCTCTCCTAGCATAAACCCCTGACCTGGAGAGCTCATTTTCATTTTCATTCTCGAGTTTGCGCCAAGAGCCATTCTCATTGGGAGTTGCCGCTTCTGCTAGACAGGTCATCCTTATCTCTAGGCTGCGGTTGTTCTCCTTGCTGCGCTGGCCGAACGTCGTTCCGAATTTGACAGATTCGAACTGAGCCACTGATTCACAGCCTCTGACGCTGCTCCAGTTCCAAGAACATCGTTCTTTCCCTGTATATCATCTTGGCAGATTTGTGCAACTGCTTTATCAGAACTGACCATTTTTTGCTTCCAGCTCGCCAGTAGAGGATTTACTCGCGGTTTCAAGGGCCCAGTACGGCTCCTCGTGGGCCAGCTTCTTCGGCTTCTAAGTCTTAGACTGTGACTCGTTTATTTTTCGATTGAAGGATGGCCGCTCTCGCGCGTCAGGTCGACGTTGCCACCACCTCTCGTTTCGATTCCGAGTCCGACGTCCCAGTGTTCTCGGCGACGCGCAAAACGCTTTTTTCCAGGCCTCCCTCTCCCACACGAGTCCTCTCTAATCCCGACCTCGCCGACAGGATCTCCCGAGTCCCGTCCGCACGAATCCTTTCCGCCACGTGGAAATCTCAAATGGTCGATTCGATCGCCACGTGGCAATCCTGGGAGCTGCCAGTTCCGTTCGACCACAGCTTCTGGTCTCACGGCGCAGTAGCTGCAGCTGATTCTTCTGACGTAGCAAAGCTACAGACCCTCCGCTGCGCGGACGCAGGTTGGGCTCCGTCGCTCCTCGCCATGCTCGCAGTACAGCCGCCGTCCGGCGCGGCGTGCAACTTAATCTCCCGCCAGCTGCACTCGCTGCTGCTCTGGGACGACTGGATGAAGCGCCACGGCTCTCCAGACGAGTTTAGCGCCTTAGCGTCCGTGTTTGGCGCTCAGGAGAGGCTGGTTGGCGACGAACAGCAAGCGGCGGTTGGCGGCGATTTGCTGGCGTTTCCGAGGAGGCTAGACGCGAAGTTTCCTCTGAAGAAGAAGGCCTTCTGCGACTCGCTATCTGCTCTTCGGAAGGAAGGCGCGGGTTCCAGCAAGTTCTGGCTGGAAAGGTATCTACGCAGTCTGCAGCAGTACGCGCTCGTCGGCTTGCCGCTTCACCAGACGGTTGAGCGGCAGGCAGCAGCCGGCGATAGCCCTTCTCTTGATGACTATCTCATGTATCGCGCCGCCACCTCCCCCGCAACTCCCGCCGCGTTTCTAGCCGCGGCGTCTCGCAACCTCCCTTTTGTGTCTGACAGCACGCTCGAGTCACTCGTCCTCCCGCTCCTCTTCGTCGGCTCCGCGTTTTCCGCTCTGAAAGGCGACTCGCTTCTGGAGCGCCGGCGCCGGCTGCAGGAATCCGCGTCGCTACCAGCATCGCTCCTATTCGACGCCGAAACCGGTTCATTGCTTCTGGACACTCTCGAGGCGGCTTTCGTTCAGATGGCGGCGAAGGTTGAGAAGGAAGCGAAGAGGTTGCAGCTGGCGTCGGAACGAGTCGCGGTTTCCTCGTTCGTGCGACTTATCAGAAGCGTCGTCCACGGCGTGAGCCTATGGCAGGGCGCCGCGTGGCGGTTCCGGGACCTCACCGCTGCTCCTGCGGGCGGTTCAGTTGAGAGCTTCTCCGAGAGCGCCTCATATGCTAGCGAGTCAGATTCTGATAGCGAGGATGAGTGGGGTACCAACGGAAGCCGCCACAGCAGCCTGAGCAGCATGAGCAGCAGTGGCAGCTTGAGTGACGCAGAGGTGCCTCAGTGGATTCTGGAGCAGATTGAAGCAGCCTGTGCACGCTTCGTTGCCCAATGAGCCAAGAAAAGGAGAACTCTTTCCCAGGGTCGTTCATTCCGTCCCAATGGAAGCTAGTCAGCTCAAGCTGCGAAGCTGCTTATGGATGCATGACCCATGAGCTGTGGGGCTGTCACAGGTGCGGAGTGCTTCTGCCTCGTCGGTTACCCTACCAGATGAAAGGGCATGGTTGGCGTTTCTGCCTCTCAAGACTAAAGTATCATTATTGAGGATCATTAGTGAGGCTGAGGGGTATATGCGTGCATGCATGCTACTGACTGGCCTTCGGTTTTGATTTGATGTCACTTATCTAGCTGTTGTACATATTAAAATTTTGACCAAAAAAATGGTTTCCTACATGCCAGACCTACTTGAACAAAGGAGCTAAGAACCATCCAAGCATGGATGTCAAACACACACTGACTAAAAAGTGAACCTTCTCCATGTCGCTGCATATCAGAATTCAGCTGTATCCTGTCCTCCGCCCTCAATCCCAGCTGCCTTTGTTGCGTCTGTCTGACTTCTTATTTGACTTGAGCTTCTTGTCCTGCAGCCGCCTCTCATTCTCTGCCTTGGCTCTGCAGGCACCCAGCCGGAGGGAGAGAGATGGACCCAGGCACACAGCAGGCAGAAGCCCAGGTCAACAGAGTATGTGAATTCACACAATAATGACCCGTTTTTGTTTAAGCACAATCATGCTTGAAGCACATGCCATATTGGACACTCACAGCTTCTTTATGCGAGCCTTTTTCTCCTCGGATGGTGGTGGAGGGACGTAGGCCGCTGCATCGATGATTTTCTGCCACATATGGACAGAGTATGGCAACGGCAGCAGCAAACTTGGTGATGGTGACGTGAACTGCTGAAAACGTGAGTTGAAATGAACGGATTTAATGAGAGAGCACAGTAGTAGGATGAACAGAGAAAAGGTGAGGGAAACGAGCAAAGAAGCTGCCTGACCTGATAGGTAGCTGTCTTGAATCACCTGAAACTACTGTTTCTTCACCTGAGCACCTGCTCTTCATACCTGAAGCTTTGCAAGCGCATCTTCAATGTTGCCCCTGGTTGGAGCAGAAAACCGGAAGGATCGAGAAGAATGGGGCGGAGAAGAAGAGGACGCAGACAGAGTGAGCAGTGGGAAAGATGCACGTCCGAGCAATGCACATTTGAGAATTCTCAAAAGTCGCACCGATGCGCGTATGAGCAATGCACAAATTCAAACGGACACACCAATGGGCAGGCGACATACTTCTGTGTTCGTGTGCGTGTGGACGACACCACAATCTCCCCATCGCTGTTGACCCGATTCTTCTCCTGCCATTGCAGAAGCACATGCATGTTGATCGATTGGAGCGGGAGTGAAAAGAGCTGCTGAAAATGAAGCACTAGATGGAAAAGAAGTGAAGGGAATGCTGATGGCTGGATGGGATGATGGCACATAGCATGTTATGACCTGGCATGGCATGGGTTGTTCGCACATGGCATGGGATGATAGCGCATGGAATCATGATCTCAAACCAAAATAATGGTCACGTGGCATTGGATTTAGAGTGCTACAGGAACCAGTCACGAGCAGCACTTACCTGCTCCAGAATCTTCCATCTTATCCGCTCAGGCAGCCAATCAGCATCGAGCACATTGAATCGCATGTCCACCTTTGTGTTCACTGCCATGAGAGGGGTAAGCGGGAGAGGGTAGACGGAAGAGGAAGTGAGGGGGAAGTGAGGAGATAGAGCGAGGAAAGCGATGGGAGAGAGTGAGGGTAGAGTAAGGAGGTTGACGGATCAAGCATGTGGTAAGGACCAGGAGGGCGAGGGAGAGTGGGAGAAAGCGTAGGGTGCTCGTGGCGATGGGAAGTGGTCGGGTATATTCAGAGAAAATATGCCGCACAGAGGGGGTGCATGGCTTGGCATAAGGGGGCTTGCAAGGATGGAACAGCGCCTGGAGCATGGTTCACGGAGAAAGCACGGGTTTGGTGTACTCGATACGAGATGAAGACTCACACTTATTGACGTTCTGCCCTCCGGGCCCTCCGCTGCGTGCGAAGCTGAGCGTTACCTTGTCTGGGTGGGGGCGGTGGGGGGAGTGGGAGGAGTGGGAAGGGTGGGGTGGGAAGGGTGGACTGGGAAGAATACACCTCACTTTTCAAGCTCCTAACCTCACCCTCCAAGCCTCACCCTCCGAGCCTCACCCTCCGAGCCTCACCCTCCGAGCCTCACCCGCCAAGCCTCAACTTCTGAGCCTCAATTTCACAGTCGCCTCCGCCTCCATCGCCTGCAAACACCCGCGTTACTCCATCACCACCTTCCCATCCCATGAACTGAACCTCACCCTCCGTATCATCTTACTGACCATACTAACCCACCTTCAAAGTCTAACCTTACAGTGATCCGCAGGATAGGCCCGGCCCGTTGTCCGCCACAGCAGCCTCTGACTCCCTCGCCTGCAGAAACTCGCTTTTGAGAATTCTCAAAAGCGACGCAGGATAGGCCCGGCCCGTTGTCCGCCACGGCAGCCTCTGAGTCCCTCGCCAGCACAAACTCCGCCTTCACCACTATCCATCCTCGCCTCAGGACCTCCTGAGTGACCGCACTGTGCACTCTCACTGCCTTCATCCCCAGAGACCAGACCAGATCAGACCAGACCAGACCACACCGCACCACACTGCACAAGCTCACCTTCAGTGATGCGCGGGATGGGCCCATCCTCCTCCACAGCAGCCTCCGCCTCCCTCGCCTGCAGAAACTCCGCCTTCACCGCCATCCGCGCTGGCAGCCGCGCCTTGCCGCCCCTGCTGACGTCATCCTCCGAGTCGGAGCCGCTGCTGGTGGAGTACTCGCTGCTGGGGGACGCGTTACAGGCCACCAGACACTCGCTGTGACTGCAACGGAAGAGGGGGGGGAACGCGTTACAGGCGACCAGAGACTTTTGAGTCGACTCAAAAGTCATCTCGTTACAGGCGACCAGAGACTTTTGAGTCGACTCAAAAGTCATCTCGTTACAGGCCAACAGACACTGGCTGTGACTGTAACGGAAGAGGGGGGTGGTGTTGATGGGGGGGAGAGGTGTGTTTCTTGAGGCGGCTCAAAAGTCGCTGCTGGGGGACGCGTTACAGGCGACCAGACACTGGCTGTGACTGCAACGGAAGAGAGGGTTGGTGTTAATGGGGGAGGGGCGCGGAGAGAGGTGTGGTGGGTGAGTCATGGAAAGGACGGATGTGCAATGTGTTGCTACAATGGCACGCACACCACGGGGGGAAGCTTTTGAGTCGACTCAGAAGCTGGGTCATGGAAAGGACGGATGTGCAATGTGTTGCTACAATGGCACGTACACCACGGGGGGAAGCTTTTGAGTCGACTCAGAAGCTGGGTCATGGAAAGGACGGATGTGCAATGTGTTGCTACAATGGCACGTACACCGCGGGGAAGTCGTGGGAATCAGAAAAATGGACGCTGGGAAGGGTGGGGAGGAGTGGGGAGCGGTGGGAAGGACAGGGGAGTTCAGAAATGGCGAGGATAAGGTGCTGCCACAAAAGAGACCAGTTTGAGTTGAAATCGCACCTGACGTGGTCCGTCAGTCGCGCGACGCTGGTGCCCCAGGCAATGCCGCGCGGTTGGAACGACGGCTGCTGCTGCTGCGAGGGATCGTAGGGCGACGAGCCAGACGCGTGCATGGAGCAGAGAGCGGCGGGAGCTTGAAATTCGGACTGTTGCGCGTGACATTGCGACCGAGCGGCGGGAAAATGAGCCGTTGACGAGATGACGGCCCGCTGCGATAGTAGCAGCTGCCATTGCTCACGGAGACAGGAGGATTTGTGGGTAATCGTACGCGGGAAGGCCTTTGGCAGGCTAATGACGACGCGCCACGTGGACAACGTCGCCATTATGGATTGGGAAACAAATCCTAGTACTGGGATAGTCTGCTAGAAAAAAGCTGTAAGCGGATGACACTCAGGCGGACGAAGTAAGTAACGCGAGGAAGTTGAGGAGAGGAAGTAGTTTCCTGAAAAGATCTAGGCAAGACATGACTACCTGACAGCAGCAAGGGCCACCTGATAGTAGCTTCTTGACGCGATCAGCCTAGGATTCTGAAGCCATGGAGGATACGCGATTTGGGAACTCGATACTAGTTGCTGCAGAGGTGTACCGCGCCCACAATGCGACATCAATACTTCCGTGTTTTCGTGAATTATATGATTCGTTTTTGTCGAATGATCTTGCAATGAGCGAAATAGTCGGTATCGGGTACAGGTGCTGTGGTGCCTGGTGAGTACCGTGCCTCTTCCTCACGTGGATCTCTCACACGTGAAATTTCACCAATCAAAACATGAAGCTTGTATGAGTGCGCTTGTGGTTGGTTAAAGTAATTTGGTCTGTGGCGGGGTATGCACTCATTGGTTGTTCTTTCATTCCAGAATCATTGCCACGCGGCATAGCGAAGTATTTTCTGGGCAGGAAAAAATATGAACTCATTGTGAATACCAGGGATCCAGGAAGTCTTAGAAGGTAGTTCTTCGCCACATTATATTGATCAAAAACAATATAACCACATCGTGAAATCTTTCACTGCACTTCACGGTCTGGTATCACAAAGAAGGTCAAGCTGTTTGGCTGGAACATTGGTGCAGTGTCTGAACCATATCATACGTGTCTCCGCGTCATTCCACCAAGTTTCCAGCCAATCAGAATCTCGTACACGTCGAACCGCTTCTACTTCTTCCAGTGATACCGATTCCCGCCCGAAGCCTTTCCCCAAACTTTCCACCATTCCCCAGAAAGTCAGGTCTGCGTGTTTCCGCTGCAAGTTCTTCTGGCCCTCAAACCGTTGCGTGCACTTCTCTCTGTTGTTCAGAATTCACCACACCACACCCATACTATCAACCTTTCTCCATCCCTTTCCAGACCATTTTACCCCGCGTCTCCTCCGCGCGGCCTTCTAAATTCATCCATCCCCCGCTTCCCCCGTTCTCCGTACCTAGCCGAGCGTATCGGTTTGCTTGCCTTCCCCCTCACGCAAAACGCCCAGCCCAAGTCTCCCCCAAACTGCACCACTTCCCCATGCTCCCGCGTTCCCCTCCCCCCATATCCCCCACCCGCTCTTCTTTTCCCCCGACCCCTGCCTCGCCTCGCCTTGTTTCTTCCCCGTCATTCACCGTTGTTCAACAACCACCTTCAGCAGACCTCCATGGATACATATTCCACTCAATGCGGTCATTCCTGCATTCAATCTCCGTTTCTCTGAATCCATATCGGCTAGTGTTGTCCAATTCTTAGGTGGCTGACAGGGCTTCCTGCCCGGCCGGTTCACACCCGTGTATTTTGTACATATTAGTACATACTTCCGTTCCTGCGTGTAGATACACCCGCTTTCATTGCGTTGTATTACCTCTTGTGAATATTCATTAACTATGGCGGCCTTCGCACTGTCCGTTGCGAGCAGCACCGCACCACCGTGCCGCCTTGAGCTCTCCCGAATCACCAACCAACTATCCGGCCAACCTCGCTCCACGGCCACGCGTGCCACCCACTCCCTCGCCGCCGAATACGACGGATTCCGTCAAACGTCAACTTTCCCGTCAACCTCCACCGTATCTCACGCCGACGCGTTCACTACCAACGTCACCCGTCAGCTCGCTCCCGCCTCGTCATCCTCCGCTCATCGCGCGACGGTATCCGCCGTCTTCGACCGGTTCACGGAGCGCGCGATTAAATCCGTGATGCTGGGTCAGCGCGAGGCGAAGGCGCTCGGGCGAAAGGAGGTGGCGACAGAGCATCTCCTCCTGGGTCTTATCATGGAAGACCGCGCCAGCAGCGGCACCGCCAGCGCGAAGGGTTACCTCAACACCGGTGTAACCATCGACGGCGCTCGCGAAGCCGTTCGCGAAATGATTCGCGACGGCACGCTTTCGCCATCCGAGGGGTCGGAAAAGCCCGCGTCGGAGGTGCCGTTCTCGGCGGGGAGCAAGCGGGTGTTCGAGGCGGCTCTGGAAGAGTCTCGGAAGCTTCGGCACAATTTCATCGCGCCGGAGCATCTGGTGATGGCGGTGCTGAGCGTCGAGTTCGACGCCGCCGGGAAACTTCTTGAAAGGTGCGCTTGTAACGCGGATGTGAGTCTGGGATTGTTTCAGACGCTCAGCCGTGTGGTTTCAACCGTGAATGGGAGATGCGAACGGCGAAGTTGAACCAAGAAGTGTTGTAGCTTAACGCCTTGCGTTTTGGAGCTCTTTCCTTTCTGAACTAAGTGAGTTACGGTCAGTTAGTCGCGGCAGTCTGGACGTACGTAACGAGCGTTGTGCGCGAGCTAATCTCCGTTTTCCCCCCGTCGGTTCCGCGCAGGCTGGGCGTGACCAAGGAGCGCGTGCGTGCGGAGGCGGTGGCGCGGCTGAAGGGCGAGCTGGCGACGGAGGGGCGCTCCACCGACTCCATCTCGCTCTCCGCCAAGCCCTCCGCCGCCTCCGCCAAATCTTCCCCCGACCCCGCCAGGGCCGCCGCGCTCTCGTCGTCCTCCAGCTACAGCAAGAAGGGCTCCAAGAAGGGTAAGCGGGGAACCTAGAAGCGAGGAAGCGCAAAGCGGGGATGTTTGAAACGGGGAATACGCGTTCGGTTAAAGGCTACCTGTCATTGAAAATCCTTTAAAAGCAGAAGGAGGATGGAGGTTCGGAGGCTCAGCAGATTCCGAGCGTGGGTGTTCAGTACACCAGATCGTTTCGGCAGGAGCCAGAAAAGATCGCCCTTTCAGGATTTCTGCATGGATTATCAGTCATGGCCGCGACTCGGGACGGGTCCTGACAACCGTCCTCTCCCCTCCGTGTTCACTCATTCCCTTGCTCTCCCGTTGCTCGCCCCTCGCTCCTCTCGCAGACAAGAGCGCGCTGGAGGATTTTTGCGTGGACCTAATGGTGATGGCAATGGCGGGCGATATCGATCCGGTGATCGGGCGCAACCACGAGGTGGCGCGCGCGGTGCAGATCCCGAGGCACCCCTCCTCCGTATTCACCCCTTTCCCCCTCCTTCCCCCTGCCCTCCCTCGCAGACAAGAGCGCGCCCGAGGATTTCTGCATGGATCTGACCGTTATGGCGATGACGGGGGACCACGAGCTGGCGCGCTCCTGTTCACCCCTGCTTCCCGTTCCACTCACCTCCCCCCCCCCCCACCCCTCTCTCTCCCACCTCCATCTCCCCCTCGCCCCATTAGCAGAGAAGAGCGCGCTCGAGGATTTCTGCATGGATCTGACCGTTATGGCAATGACGGGCGACATCGATCCGGTGATCGGGCGCGACCACGAGGTGGCGCGCGTCGTGCAGATCCTCGCGCGCCGCACCAAGAACAACCCGCTGCTGCTCGGCGAGCCGGGCGTCGGCAAGACCGCCATCGCCGAGGGCCTCGCGCTGCGCATCGCCGAGAACGACGTCCCGGTGTTCCTGCAGGTACGGTGCTCCTGCAGGTGTTCCTGCAGGTTTGGGGGAAAACTGTTCGTTTGTTCATGTGTCTATTGTCGTTTCCATCCGAGATTTATATGTAATGTTTTTTTTTATTATTATTATTATTTCCAACAGGGTAAGAGAGTGATGGCGCTGGACATGGGGCGGCTGATCGCGGGCGCTAAGGAGCGCGGCGAGCTCGAGGCGCGCGTCACGGGGCTCGTCTCGGAGGCCACTAGCGCAGGCGACGTCATCCTCTTTATAGACGAAATCCACACCGTTGTCGGGTCCGGCGCCGTGTCGCGCGGCCGCGGCGCGGGGGGAGGGGGAGGTGGCGGGCTGGACATCGCGAACCTGCTCAAGCCGGCTCTCGCGCGTGGCCAGCTGCAGGTACCGTTACTTACCCCCATGTTTATGGGGATGACTGCTCTGCATGAATTTGTGTTTCTGAAAGGTGCACGAAGGCGTGCTTCAAGGGGAACGGGCGAGGGGAGGTGGTGGGCTGGAAATCGCACTCAAGGCCGAGCCTCGCGTGGGGGCAGCTGCAGGTGGGTGTGACTGTATGAAAGTCTGATTATAATCTGACCACACTGTAAGCCTGTTGGTGGTCCTGTCCTCCTGGACATCCCTATCCCCCACTCCCCACCTTCACCCCTTCCTTACCCTCCCCTCTTTTCTCCCGCCGTCGCCCCCCCCCTCCGCGCATCAGTGCATGGGCGCGACCACCATAGGCGAGTACCGCAAGCACGTGGAGAAGGACAAGGCGCTCGCGCGGCGCTTCCAGCCGGTGGACGTCGCAGAGCCGTCGCAGGACGACGCGCTGCTCATCCTGCACGGCCTGCGCCGCCTCTACGAGCGCCACCACAAGTGCCACGTCAGCGACGACGCGCTCATCGCGGCCGTCCAGCTGTCGGCGCGCTACATCCCGGACCGCTTCCTGCCGGACAAGGCGATCGACCTGGTGGACGAGGCCGCGAGCCGCGCCGTGATTGACGGATTCAGGCGGAACCGGCAGCGCGAGACGAGCGTGCTGCACCGCGGACCGGAGGAGTACTGGCGGGCGATCAGAGCGGCTCAGGCGGCGATCAATGCGGTGAGAAGGGATGGGGCAAAATGCAGTGAGGTGATGTGAGTGGGAGTATCAAAGGAACTGGGAGAGGGGTTGAACTGGAGATGCGAGGGTGCCGTATGGGGAGGGGGGCGGAGGAATCGAGCCGGGCGATCAGAGCAGGTAAGGCAGGAAACATGCGTGCAAGGAAGTCAGGTGGGTGGGGGACAGGGTGGGCTTGGTGTGTGTACTATCCTTGGCAGAATGGGGTGGTGTTTAGGTGACTTTCGAGTCGACTCAAAAGTATGTGTGTGTGCTATCCTTCGCAGAATGGAGTGGCGTTTGAGGAATGGCGGAACGCTGGGGTGCGATACGGGATGGTACAGGCGAGTGCGATTCTTTGAGTCAACTCTGGTGCCACCTCTTGGTGTGAGCCTAACAAGCCACCCTGGGGAAGGGAGGTGCACTGGTGGGCGTGAGTGAGCCTTGTGAAGGGTAGGTAGCGACCAAGGGGTTGGCCCAGCAACTGTGAGCGTTTTTTTAGATTTCTCAACAAACGCCTTCTGTCTGGCCCAGGAACTGTGGAGGAGGTGCGGCTTCCCATGGGGGCAGCAAGGGGGGGATGCGCTGCGACGAGCAGAGCGGATGTAGAGCAAAGAGCGGAATCCAGGCCTTCAACGTATCGATCTTGTCTGTCACTCTCTCCCGGTGGGCCTTGTTCTCTTCTCGGCAGGTGGAGGAGGTGCAGTCGCCACTGGGGTCAGCAGGCGGCCCATCAGCGTTCCTATCAGACGATCCTAAGCCCTCTGCTGCGCCTGCTGCCGCCCCTTCCTGGTCCCCTGCTGGCGATGGCGATAGGTACGCTGCTGTGTTTCCCCTCCCTTTACTTCTTACACAAGGTGCCTTGGGCCAAGTGTAGATAGGTTTGATGCCACGCAAGCCTGCCTCTTGAAACACAAGGAAGTACTGTCAAGGTGGGCAGCTGAGAGTGCACACTGAATCTTGCAATGCATGACTCGAAATCTGCACGCCGGCTGCGTTCACACCAATGCTTCCACGCGTCTACGCCTTCAATCTCGTCACCACCATCCCTCTCGCCCCTTCCGTCCCCCGTCCCCCTCCCGCCCTCCTCCCCCACTCCAGTCTGTCCGTTGGGCCAGAGGACATAGCAGCAGAGGCATATCAGCGCTGGACGGGCGCCCCCCTGCAGCAGCTCACAGCAGACGAGCAGCGCCTCCTGAGTGGGCTCCACCAAAGGCGCTTCACTGACCTGGTGCTTTTTTCCCCGACCCTAACGCCCCCTCTCTTCTGTCCCCTGCCCTCCCTCCATCCCCGTTCCTCCGCCACCCCAGACTATCCATAGGGCCAGAGGACATAGCAGCGGTGGCGTCCCAGTGGACGGGCATCCCCCTGCAGCAGCTGACAGCAGACGAGCAGCGCCACCTCACTGCTCTCGAGCCAGCGCTGCACTCGCGGGTGGTGGGGCAGCACGAGGCCGTCAGCGCCATCGCCCGGGCCGTGAGGCGAGCCAGAGTGGGGCTCAAGGACCCCAAGCGGCCCACGGCGGCCATGCTGTTCTGCGGGCCGACGGGAGTTGGCAAGACGGAGCTCAGCAAGGCGCTCGCGCAGCACTACTTTGGCTCGGTGAGTCAGCCGCAGGGAGGGACAGGAGAGGGCAGGGAATGGGGGGTGGGTGGGGCAGGACGAGGCTGTCAGCTCCTGCACCCACCGTTACCCCTTTCTCAGGAGGATGAGCGAGTGCATGAAACACCATGCTGTTGCGACATCATCCCTCCTTCCACCATCATCCACGACCTCCTCCCGTTTCTTTACAGGAGGAAGGAATGTTCCCGGCTAGACAACGATACTACCTGGAGCGCCATGCTGTCAGCAGGCTAGGTGGACACATGGGCTCAATTCCTCTTTTGCCACTGTCTCTCCTTCCACCATCACCTCCCATTTTTATCCAGGAGGAAGCCATGATCCGCCTAGACATGAGTGAGTACATGGAGCGCCATGCAGTCAGCAAGCTCATCGGCGCGCCTCCAGGCTATGTGGGGTTCGGGGAGGGCGGCAAGCTCACCGAGGCTGTGCGACGCCGCCCGTTCTCGCTGCTGCTGCTGGACGAGATTGAGAAGGCGCACCCCGACGTCTTCAATCTGCTGCTGCAGGTTTGTCTCATCTTGCTAGGCTTTCAGGTTTCTTGTTGTTGCGTTTGCCTTTATAAGCACCAGCTTACTAGTTGATTGGAAATTGGGGCCTTATGATTATGCTAAGTCTCTCTTGTCTACTCCTGTTGCACCCCGGTATCTCTAATCTCCTGTTCCAGATCTTTGAAGACGGCAGGCTGACGGACTCCCAGGGCCGGCACGTGTCGTTCAAGAACACGCTCATCATCATGACCAGCAACGTCGGGTCACAGGCGATCGCGCGTGGCGGCGGCAACAGAGTGGGGTTCCTGCTGCCAGGGGCGGACGAGGCAGACGGCGGGCGGTACGCGGGGCTGAAGTCGTTGGTGATGGATGAGCTGAAGAGCCACTTCCGCCCCGAGCTGCTCAACCGCATCGACGAAGTCGTCGTGTTCCGATCGCTGGAGAAGGACCAGGTGAGAGGAGAGGGAGGGTAGGGGAACGGGTGGAGGGGAGGGGAGAAAGGCTTATTTGGAGGGAACAGGGTGGGGTTTCTGCTGCCAGGGGCAGACGAGACCGGATTGACCAAGTCCGGGGTGTTCCGGTCGCTTGAGGAGGACCAGGTGAGAGGGGAGGGTGGAAAATGGGGAGGGGGTTGCAATGGGTGCATCCAAATTCAGGGGAGGTGCAATGCCCCATTGCTTTCACCCCACCCCCTCGACCTCCCTGCCCCCCTCACCCCCCCCTCCTCCTCTAGACTCCCCTTCCCCTTTCACCCACGTATGGTACCTATGCTACCCTCCCCATGACCAAGTGCGCATAGAGCTGCACACCTTCCCTCTCTCCCATGCGCTCATTCCCTTCATTCCCTTTTGCCCCCTTTGGGTCTACAACATCCGCAGTCAAAACATCCGCCTGGAGGAATTCAACATCATCCACACACAGTCTCCTACGGGGCGCGGCACACCTGCTGCGCCCGCCACTCCCTACCTACCCTCACACTGAATGCGCATAGATCTGCCTTTTGAGGCGCACGCCCCCTGCTTTCGCTTCCCCCACACCCCTCTCCTCCCCAGTGGATGATGATGCATGTAAGGCCGCAATCTCCTCTCTCACATCTCCTCACTTCCCTCGTCCCCCATTCCTCACCCCTCACTCCAGGTGCGGGCAATCGTGGACATGATGATAAAGGAAACGTCTATCCGCCTCTCAGAGAAGAACATCCGACTGGAGGTCTCAGAGGCGCTCATCCAGCGCATCTGTGACGAGGGCTACGACCGATCCTACGGCGCACGACCACTGCGCCGCGCCGTCACGCGATTGGTGGAGGACCCGATCAGCGAGGCGGTGCTGTCGGCCAATAGCGGCGGAGGGCTGGTGGCGGGCGGCAGCGTGTCAGTGGTGGGGGGAGCGTTTGAGGAGGGTGATACGGCTCTGGCTGATATCGGGCCCGACGGAGAGCCGTTTGTTATGCGCATTGCCAAGAACGAGTTGCTACGAGTGTAGAGAGAGGGAAGATCACGTTTTCTATCTATGTGGAGTGAAAGTTGTACTGTATTCAGCTGTTAGATTTCATGTTATGATGTACTGGATAGTCTCACTGGTTGCTTCTAACATCAGCAGATTCGTAGTCACTGAATGATGTGTAGATAAATTATCTTACTTACCACATTGTATAAACCAAACAAGCCGCTACTTGGTTATTAAAGCCCGAGTACAGCATGTCTATATTAAGTTCAAGATTCTTGAACTTGAAGTAGCCAGTAGCAGTGTTACCCTACTTGTTTTCAGAAAATTCTCGCGACCCCAGGCAATCGTCCTACTACAACGGAACTCGAGTGCCCAAAACCAGAACTGACGCGATGATCGCCAACCAATTGTACTATTCACCACTCACATAACTTGCTTACCATTTGAACTTGCCATAGGCTAGGAGGCTCCAAGGCAAAAGCTAGCGCTAGTTGGCAAAAGCGAGTCGTTGATAGGTGTTTTTTTTTGTGCGGAACCGGTCTCGTGTTACAACCCGTACACCCACGGCACTTACGTTAGTAAACGAGATTCGCGTTACTCGAGTCTTGCATTCAAGCTCGCGTCGCACACGCAGGATCTTGTCACACTTGCTGCCATTCAGCCTCGTGTCACGATCGTACCGTTTTAGGCACGGGTCGCTCACGCGAATGCCGTACTGGTTCGCGTAACGCACTCAGCCCTTAGTCGCACATGTTCCTCCTCGTCGGCCGCTCTTGCCCACGTCAGACCGCTTTCCTCGTCGCCCGCGCTTTCCCTCATTACCCTCCCCGACCCTCTGGTCGCATATGTTCCCGTAGTTGCCCACGCTCTCCCTCGTTAACCACACATCCCCTCGTCGCAATTGCTAGTAGTAAACATACCGCGCTTCGGATCGTCACCCGCGCTCCCCTCATCACCCTCGTCGACCCATACCGATCCTCGCCGCCCTCACCTCCCTAGGTCACCGACATTCCCTCTCGTCGCTCGCGCTTCCCCTCATCACCCGTGCCGACCCTCGCCGCCCTCGCCTCCCCTCGTCGCCCGCGCGTCCCGTCGTCGGGCTTGCCTCCCAGTCACTCGCGCTTCCCCTCGCCATCCGCGTTTCCATCCGCTCTTCCCCTCTCCCCATCTCACCATCTCCAGCCCATCCTTCCTCCCTCATTCCTTCCGAAGGGGTGGGACAGATGGGGAGGAACAGATGGGGAGGAACAGATGGGGAGAAACAGAGGTGGTCGCTTCCACCACCACAATCGAACAGCGTTTTGATTCCCTCTCTGCTACCCACCATCCTCCCCCCAGCTCTCTCCCCGGCATTTGCCCCCGTTCCCCCCATCCTCTTCCCTGTTTCCTGTATCCCCTGCCGTGCTTCCCCCCATCCTATCCCCTCTTACCCCGTATCCCCTGCCCTGCTTCCCCCCATCCCCTTCCCTGCTTCCCCCCATCCCCTTCCCTACTTCCCCCCATCCCCTTCCCTGCTTCCCCTCATCCCCTTCCCTGCTTCCCCTCGTCCCCTCCCCTGCTTTCCCCCCTACCTCCTCCCTGCTTCCCCCAACCCTCCGTCCTGCTTCCCCCCTCCCTCCGCCCTGCTTCCCCCCTCCCTCCGTCCTGCTTCCCCCCTCCCTCCACCCTGCTTCCCCCCTCCCTCCGTCCTGCTTCCCCCCTCCCTCCACCCTGCTTCCCCCCTCCGCCCGCCTTGCTTCCCCCCTCCCTCCTCCCTGCTTCCCCCCTCCCTCCGTCCTGCTTCCCCCCTCCCTCCACCCTTCTTCCCCCCTCCCTCCGTCCTGCTTCCCCCCTCCCTCCACCCTGCTTCCCCCCTCCCTCCTCCCTGCTTCCCCCCTCCCTCCGTCCTGCTTCCCCTCTCCCTCCACCCTGCTTCCCCCCTCCGTCCGCCCTGCTTCCCCCCTCCCTTCGCCCTGCTTCCCCCCTCCCTCCGTCCTGCTTCCCCCCTCCCTCCACCCTGCTTCCCCCCTCCGTCCGCCCTGCTTCCCCCCTACCTCCTCCCTGCTTCCCCCAACCCTCCGTCCTGCTTCCCCCCTCCCTCCGTCCTGCTTCCCCCCTCCCTCCACCCTGCTTCCCCCCTCCGTCCGCCCTGCTTCCCCCCTCCCTCCGTCTTGCTTCCCCCCTCCCTCCGCCCTGCTTCCCCCCTCCTTCCGCCCTGCTTTCCCCCTCCCTCCTCCCTGCTTCCCACCACCCTTCGCCCTGCTTCTCAGCCCTCCTTCCCCCACCCTCTGCCCTGTTCCCCACCTGCCCTCCCCATCCCTGCCTTTCCCTCCCTGCCCTGTCCTTCCCTTCCCCATCCCTTATCACCCTTCCCCTCCTTTTCATGCCCTCCCCTTCCCCCTCACTCATCACCTTCCGCCCTCTAGTTCCCATGCATGTGCACCCATCAATGTCACCCCATACATGCTTTCATCATGTGCGCTTGCTTGCATCCCCTAACCCATGTTCCCACCCACATATTCTTTCTGCCTATGCCACTCCCCTTATTTTTAGTGGGGAAGCAGAGGAGCAAGCTGAGGCGCAGCTAGTCAATGCTTTACACCGTACCACCACCTGTTTCTTGTGTGTTGTATGCAAGCATGATACTTCGCGACTGTTGGAGATATCCATCTCAAATGCACAATATGTACTGTTGTTTCTGAAGTGCAAGATCTTCTTCCAAAATGTAATGACACTAAAAGTGTCAGAAGGGTACATAGAGGCATGTTCCTAATACTTTTGATTGTACCTTTTCAATTCAAGGCCTTGAAAAAAAAACATGACGGGAACAGGTTTCTCTACGAGCATGGCATGAGATGATGGGCTGAGGCGAGTTGCAGTAAGTGAAGACAATTCAGTGTAGTCACTGCAATAGCCAGGGAGAGGGAGGGAATACGAGGGATGGGGAGGGGGAACAAGAGAAAAGTCAAACAGGGGAGATATGGGAGATAGGGAAGAGGGAAGCAGGGGGGACGGGAAAGGGGGAGATAGGACGATGTGAGATGAGAGGGAAAGGGGATAGGAAGAGCGGGGGTGAGGGAAAGGAGGAGATAGGAAGAGGGTGAGAGGGAACGAAGGACCTTAGGAAGATGGAGGATAGGGAAGAGGGAGAGAGGGAAAGCGAGAGATAGGAAGATGAAACGAGGGGAAGAAGAGGGGGAAACGAGGGGAAGGAGGAGTGGATATGAGTGGAAGCAGTGGGGAAATGAGGGGAAGCAGGGAGGGAAATGAGGGGAAGTAGGGAGGGAAAAGAGGGAAAGCAGGGAGGGAAATGAGGGGAAGCGGGGGGGGGGAATGAGGGGAAGCAGGGGGGGGGAAAGAGGAGTAGCAGGGAGGGAAATGAGGGGCTACAGCGGGGGAAATGAGGGGAACCGGGAGGGGGGGTGAGGGGAAGCCGGGGGGGGAAATGAGGGGAAGCAGGGGGGGAAATGAGGGGAAGCGAAGGGGGATATGAGGGGAAGCAGGGGGGGATATGAGGGGAAGCAGGGGGGGAAATGAGGGGAAGAAGGGGGGGATATGAGGGGAAGCAGGGGGGGATATGAGGGGAAGCAGGGGGGGATATGAGGGGAAGCAGGGGGAGAGATGAGGGGAAGCTGGGAGGGAAATGAGGGGAAGGAGGGGGGGGAATGAGTAGAACAAGGGGGGGAAACGATGAGAGCAGAGGGGGAAACGAGGGGAGGCAGCGGGGTAAATGAGGGGAAAAAGGAGGGGTAATGAGGGGAAGGAGGGGGGGGAATGAGGGGAAGCAGACGGGAAAAATAAAGGGGAAGGTAACACGAGGGAATGGAAGGGCAAGGGATGGGCAGGTGGGAGAAGGGCAGCGGGATTGGAGGCGCGAGGAGGGGCAGCGAGACGAGGGTGCTGGCGCGCTGATGGCAGGGGAGGTGCGGCGAGGCGAGCGGAGGCGCGGGGAGGTGAGCCGAGATGCGGCGCGGCGAGGCGAGCAGAGGCGTGGTGAGGTGAGCGGAGGCTCGGGGAGGCGAGCGGAGGCGCGACGAGGGGAGGCTCCCAGAAACTAGGGGAGGCGTGACGATGGGACAGGAGGCGCGGCGAGGGGAGGGGACCCGATTGTCGTTCTTCAAGCCAAAAGCGCGCTGCTCGTCGACCAGACTGGGGCGCGCGCTACTCGTCGTCCTCTAAGCCTAGCGCGCTCTGCTCTGTCAGATTTATATGACATAGCTACTGTAGGCTATAGTGGGGTAGCACATATGGGATACAGCTTTCTAGGGTTTGTACTTGTACCCAACTTCCCCTTAGTCATTTCATTCTCGTTCAGTTTCTCATGCTCAAGTCAGACGGGCGCTGCTCGTCGACCAGACCAGTGCGCGCGCAGGAAGTTTGCGGGTTGACGCGCTGCTAGACGACCATTGGCGCCTGAAACCGTAGACCTAGCTTGGTTGATCGTGGCGTTTTTTCTTCTTACTCGTTCTGAGGTGGTTTTTGCTTCCCATTTTCGATTTTGCTAGTAGTTGCATTGTGCGTGGGTATTCTCCACTACACACAGTCCTCGCCAATTTCACGCCCCGTCAGTTCTTCCTTAAATCCAAACTGACCTTATTTGGCTATAGGGGGTAAGACACCCACGAACTAGAGGCTATCCGAGGCATTGTGACGTTTCGATGTTTGCCCCTTCTGACGTTGAGATTGCAACGCAAAGACTGAATCTTCCGCTGCGACCATGTTTCTTTTGTTTTTCCGCTGACTCATGTGCGCAGTCCAGGTCTTTGGTTTCCTTAAAGCCAAATTGTTTGAAGCAACCCTTAAATTGGGGTGAATGTAAAATGAATACACAGGGCAGGCCCCTAGATTCGTTTTGAGCTAGTCTGAGGCCTCAGAGTACACCCCTCTTCCTAGTCTGGCTGTCAGAGTTGACCAAATTTTAAAGTCTGAAAGTCCAGACTCCACAAACTTTTCAACGCTGATGTTACAGACTAGCACTCAAATTTTACTCTTGTTTGAGAACACAACCAACTAACAATTGTTACACTACATGTCTGCATTAGTCTGACATAGAATCTACAAGATCACATTCCACTACTGGCTCATCTACATGCTCCTTCCAAGCCCTTGGGGGCTCCTCCCCGTGCCTTGATGCAGGTGCTGTGAACGGCCGGCGCTTCTTGTAAGCACGCCAAATCTCGACTACTCCTGGGACGTCTAACTCATAGTCTAGCAGTGAGATGCAAAGCAGATCGCTCAGCCTACAATCCTTGATGCTGCCCCTCTGCCACGTCTTGATCAGGTTTTGTCGGGAAAAGCCTCCCTCACACTCGACCGTGCTGAGAGGCAGCACTGCAATCGCCACCCAGAGTCCGACGAGGTTGGGGTACGCCTGCTGCCAATCGGGTGTCCTGAGAATGGCGGTAAGTCCCGTGTGGAACTTACGCTCACTCTTCGGCGCTCTGGCAAGAACTGGACACAGCGTGCGAAGCTCCCTCATGGCCTTCTTCTTGTCAATGCCTGCAAGGTATAAGAGGCAACGGTTAGAATAAAGGCCGTGAGAGAGGGGGAACCGGGTGGCACTTCAAACTAACCTGGTAGGATCTCGTCGGCTTCATCTGCGCGGAACAACGTGACAAGCGACAAGAGCCACTCCAAGCACTGTGCCTGCCGCGCGTCCCGGTCCCATTGCGGTTGCCACAAGTCAGGGATAAACAGCCTCACTCCAGAAAGAGACTCAAGGTCGCCAAGCTTAGACTGGAGGTTCTCGACGACATGCTCGGCCATGTCGGTGCAGAGCGCCACGCACGCGTCGTGGTGGCCGGGCCCACGATAGTTCGGGTTGGTGCGCTCGTGAAGCGTCACCTTGAAGCGGTTGAGACTGCCATCGGACGAAGCTCCCTCGATCACCATTTCTGGTGAACCACGCGGTCCGTGCTTCTCAATGAAGCGGTACAGCCTCTCGGTTTGCCCTCCCCCGAAGTCGTCACCACAGTCGACGTAACGGCTCTCCAAGATCGATGTCGTGCGCACAATCTGCGTGTGCACCTGCGCGTAGTCGAGCTGCAACAAACACATTAAAAAAAAAAAGAGTACAAAGCGGATGACCAACAAACACATTCAAATTAGTACCAAAACATGCAACACGTAGTAGGCAACTTAGTAGGCAACTTACCTCCCGCTTCTGGAAAACGGAGGAGAGCACGTTGAGCTGCTCCAGTAGGTCCACGAGGAACCTGATGAGGAACTGGAACCTGTACGACGTGACGATTTCGTACATGGTCTGGTCCTTCCACTCCGACAGCATCACCATGATCGCTGGAAGGACGTGGACGAACCGGGTGACTGCAGCTCCTTGTGAAAGCCACCGCACGTCATGTATGCCTTGGACCTCGAGGTTGGTGGAGGTGAACACATCCTGCAGCTCCATGAAGCGCTGATGCCACGGTGACGATCGCCCGAGGTACTCTGCGACGGCGCGGATGACATCGTCCACCATGTTGAACGTTGGTATCTCCTCTGCCGCGGCCTAGGCAGCCAACGCCTCCCTGCCAAACAGAAACACACAAATGGGTTGGTGATTGTTAAAACAAACAAAGGGTTAAACAATACAGAGTGTGACACATTAAAACACAAACGCACCTGTGCGCGATGCAGTGAAACGAGACTAGATTGGGGATGAGCATTCGCAGGCGAGCAACCACACCGTTTTGACTCCCCACCATCACAGACGCGCCATCAGTGTTCATTCCCGAGATATGCCGCAGGTCAACGCCGACAGCCCTGAGGTGGGAAACCAACAAACTGCACAAAGAAGTAGCGTCAGCCTTCTCAACAGTCAAGTGGGCGATAAACTCCGTGACAACCTGTCCCTCGCGGAGAAAGGTGGCAAACACAATCATGTGTTTGCCGCGGCGACGGTCGGTGCTCTCGTCCAGTGTAATCCCGATGAATGGGCTCGTCAGAAGGTGCTCAAGTTGCGTTGTTTGGAGCCACGTCGCAATTGCTTGGGTGAGTTCTCCGAATCCGTACCTACACAAAGAAAACGTAGTCGTTAGTGACAGTCAAACAGAAACAAAACCTACAGGCATGCTACAGACACTACTTACGTGTTGTAGTACGTGCCGTAGCCCTCCGCGGGAAACCCGGGCACTTTCTTCTTCGCCAGGTAGCGCACCAACCGGATCCACGAGTCCATGGGCTCGTTGGACTTCCCCATGAAATACAGCGAGTCCACGAGCGAAGACACCTGCAGCATCTCCAAGTCCTGCGCCTTCGGGTGCATGTCGATGCGCTGCTGGCGCCCGTATTGTCAGAACATTATAGCTTACTTATTTGTGTAGGCTATAGTGGGGTATCCCATAGGGGGTACAACCCAATTAGGGTTTCCTATTTGTACTCACTTCGTTCATAGTCATTTCATTCTCGTTCTATTCTTCTCATGGTA